CATGTAATCTCAACATTTGTCATCCATGAGTAAATTATTTGTTTGCTGCATAGTTCACTACCTTAGTGTAATAGTAGGCTGTAAGGAAAGTAAGAACAAGAAACACTTCACGGTAAGAAACCCTGCTGTAGGCACATGGAGGCAGTGTGGGGACGACGGCTTGCTCTGAAGGCTCCAGTCTGACCTGTTCCTGTGAAAATCAATTTGTAAGCACAGATTTATTTCAGAGGAGCTGTCAAAAACCAGTGGCATTCTCTCTGGAATGGAAGGTTACTGCTGACACGTCATTTAGGGAAACAACGCCACTGGATACTAATGAGGCATCTGAAGATGTTACATGGCTTTTAACAGAACAGGACAGACATACAGAAAAGACATCTAGGCACAACTCAACATCCTTGTGCTTCAGTGCCCTACACGGTGCCCTTTGCCTTCTCCCCCACATCTCAGTTAAGACGATAAGGGAAGATGAAATCACCACCACTGTCTAAACAGATGACTAAGTTCTTCCTATCTTTCCAAGGGATAACTCCGTTTCAAAAGACAATCTCAGCTTCTCTGATACCTTTGTGATGCAGGCTGCGCATCCACAAACTCCAAGGGGCAGAGCCCCAACACCTCCCTGCCACACAACCCTGCCCATTTCTCAGGCCTGTGGTCAGCCATCGAGTCCTAGTTGATGCTGTTTTCACAGGCACAAGTAATCTTACGAGATGGACAAAATCTTTAATTCTTACCAATCAAGATCTACAACCCCCCCCCCTTTAGGTTTTTACTCTGTTTTATCTCAACTATTACTGCAACTTCTCCTTTGGCTCTGACAACCTTACTCTAGTCACATGCAGTTTTAAAAGCAGCCAAAATAGTTTTCTTAGTTTACTGCTGTGTCACTTCTCTTCTTGCATTCTTTACCAGTTCCTGTTTACCACATCACTGCAGAGAGATCTCACAAACAAGCTACTCCTTGCCTTACTCCCTTGTCCGAGTGACGAGTCCCACTTCTAAGCAGTATACAATATCCATGCTCCATTACCTACTTCCAATGTTATCAAGTGTTACACACTTCTCGTGTTTGCTTTCCTGAGGTCTCCTACATGTATAGAACTGTTTCTACACGAATAAACTCATTCTTTATCACTGATGTTATTGACCACTATAAATCATGCAAATTAATGAAGTATCTTTATTAGAATGGATGAATTGGACACCTCACATTTTTTCATAAACTTGTTCCTTATGATGAAATTGAAGTGAATGACATACAGGGATTTAAGGAAAAACTTCGAAGTTCAACACAACTATGAAAATATTTCAGTAATACATAAAAAAAAAGTAATCTACTAGCTCACGTTAAGGTAAGTTTAAATACACTTATTTATAATAGAAAGAAGTTAGACTTCTATGGATGGTAGGTTTTATACCTGACAGGTAACAAATGTCACATCTGAATGAAAGCTAGTTAAATGCTTTTCATATATCTATGCAACAGGGAAAGTCCTGAAGAGCTACGTGCTGGATACCTACTGTAAGTAGTTCTACATCTGGATCCAAGTTTTAACTCAATTAGCTGTAGCTAAAGCTTTAGCTATGAGCCAATGACTTGTTTTTGCTCCTTACAGATTAAACTTTCAAAGATATTTTGATCGCTTATAGACTCAAACAAGCATTTTACAGCTCAGCAAGTTAAAAAAACAGGAGTCAAAAATCAGTACAGTTGTCTACTAGGCAATGAGATCCCCCAAGTATCGGCAGTCCTCCATAAAATGGTATCACCCCAGCAACACAAACACAATTATGGCTCTTCACCACTTCCATGACTCCCATGTAATTTGTGTTTATCAGTCATAATGACTTAAGATGCCATCGAAATTATGTCAATGTTGAAGATCAGAGGTTGCGAGTGCTCGATCAATATTCAGCTACTTAATTTCCATAGAACAGAAATTGGCTGGTGGAATCCTCAGTGTTATTTCAATGTAGCTGCCTTGTAAACAAACACAGTCACAGGAAAGGCTGCTGAAATAAATCAGCCCTGCGGTGCTAGGTGCCTTCTTAACCAGGACCCTCAGGACTGATGTGAGCACTGTGCCCTCCACAAGAGCACTACAAGTTAGTAGTGCAAAAAGAGTACCTAGGATTGCAGTTGAACATCTCATCTGTTCCTGTTGCATTTGCTTCCCTAGTCACATAAAAAGGTTAAGTAAAACCTAACCTGAAGTGATGTTGACATGGCAGGCACGCATCACATCGAGCAGCGAACCCATGCCCTAGCCTGGCAGAAAGGCCACCTGTAGCAGTCAGCTCAATGTGTAGGAAAGCCAGCTCGCAGCATCCTGTGAAATTTGCAGAGTTTTCCTTTCCTAAAAAGCACCATTTATTGCCTGAAGTATCACCAATGAATAATTCAAATGTGGATATTGAGAGATCAAATATCACGAGTATTACAGCAAAAGGGCATTCACCAGCACAGCGTGCTGCCACTGAGTTACAGTCGAGCCAGAAGGTCAATAGCATCGAGCACACCAACAGGCTCTGATGGGCATTTTGGACTCAAACCGGACAGCTGAGGCAGTTACCATCCATCCCCAGGTGCCCGCTCCATCCCTGAGACAGAGATGTTTAAGCTGTTCAGGAATCAGTTTCCAAACTGCCACCATGTTTGGCTCTGCCTAAAAAATCAGATTTAGTGTCTCTGGAACTCTGATGGTCTTCTGGACTTGAGCCCTCAGGTATATGGCAGAGACCCTCCACTACAGTAAGATGAGCCTGTACCTAGCCTGGAAATCATACAGGGCAGGGGGAAAAGGGGAAGGAACAGGCCACAGCTGGGGAAGCCTCAACTGGAAAGTCATCCAAAATTCAGCATAAGCCACAAGAATGCTTAACTACAAAAAAACATGAAGCAAGTCATGTCTACAAAGCTATCAACCTGCCACAGATCACATCACCCAGATACTACAGAGATATTTACCTCCAAAGCCTGCCTTAAACGTTATTTATGCAGAAGAGTTGAGAACTTGAGTAGGTGAGTGTTACAGCTGAGCGTAACAAAGTGTTCACTTGGCAAGAAAAATCTGAATTGAAGGAAAACAAATTTAAACACACAAGTTCCTCCACTATTTTTTAATTTGGAGGTGTCTTACTTTTTTTTTTTTTGCCAAAGAGCTAAACATGTGAAATGCGTGCCTGAAAATATTTCAATGAAAAATTTCTTACATATGCATTACTTCACAAAAAAAAAAAAAGTCTTCTCTTTGCATGTTTTGTGATCACACCTTCCGACCAGTTTTAACCTAATTGCTGTGACAGCATCTCAGATTTAGCTCACCCCAGCGTAAACATCACCTGCTTCCTGTTCGGGCACTACACCTCTCGCTTCCCTTGAGGGAGACGGGGCTGACCTGACCCACAGCACCATTTCAAAGTCCAGAGCTATGTGGGAGCACCGTGATCACCGACGTCCTGCTCCGAGCCACAACTTCCCACCCATAAAACATCCCCACGGCACCGCAGCGCTGCCGTGCTGGGCACGGAGCATCCCAGGGCGCCGGGTACCCATCGGAAATGGCTCCCAAATGGTCGTTTCCACAAGAGGAGCAGGTTTCGTTTCATTTTTTCAGCAATACAGTGATTTGGTTTTCTGAAAGAATCATATTTTTTTCAAAAGGAGACTGACTGCTGAAGCTGTTCAGTGGTTGTTTTTTTAAAAATAGGGATGAGCAGAGTTTTGCATTAGCACACAAGAAGGCATTCTGAAGATGAAGAACTGGAAAACTGACTTTTGAAGCTGTCAAGCGGCCGCTTGGTAAATACAGCTGGGCAGCTTTACACCAACACGCGAGAAGATATTCTGCGGGTGAAGAACTCAAAAGCCGACTTCGGAAGCTGCCTGTTAGGAGCACAGGCGGGTACAGCCTCACGTTAGCGCACACGGAGGCTCTGTGGGGACGCAGAGCTGGCTCCGCGGCTGGTCCCCCGGCAGCGCCGTGCCCTCCCCGAGCAGCCCCCCGAGGATGCCGCCCCGGGGCCCCCCCAGCCCGGCCCGGCCCGGCCGAGGCAGGCCTAGCACCGGCCCGGGCCTTGCCGCGGCTCCTCCCGGCCTGGCGGGGCGGCCAAACTTCCCCGGCCGGCTGTGTCCGCTCCCCTCCCGGGGCCGCCGGCCGAGCCCCCCCGGCCCGGTCCCTCCGTCCCCGGAGCTCCGGTGGGCAGCGGGCAGGGGGAGCCCCCTCCCCCCCTCCCACGCCCCCCTGGAGCCGGTCCCCTCCGGGCGCGGGGCTCACCACGCATTTCTTGCCGAGGAAGCCGAAGAGGCTGTCGTTCTCCTGCGGGGTGAGCAGCAGGGAGCCCACGTTGGTGACCCGCCGCGGCTGCGGGGGCTGCTGCTGCGGGGCGCCGCTCATGGCCGGGGCCGGCCCGGCGGCGCTGCCCTCCCTCGCCGCCCTGCAAGCGCTGGCGCTCTCGGCCCCTTCTTCTTCCTCCTCTTCTTCCTCCTCCTCCTCCTCGTCGTCGTCGTCCTCGTCCAGCCGCCGCCTCACGGCAGCCGCATGGCGGAGCCTGCCGCTGGGGGCCGGGGGGACGGAGGGCGGCGGGCAGCCCGGCCGATGGCTGGCTGGCCGCCCGCCCCGGGCGCCGGGCTAAACTTCCAACTTCGGCCCGGCTCCGGCGGCCGCACGATCCAACATGGCAGCGGGGGCGGGCGAGACCACGGCGGGCGGAGGGGAGGCCGGCGAGAGACGGAGCGAGAGCGCCGCCGCCGCCGCCTTTTCCCCTTCTTCCTTCCCTCCCTTTCCCTTCCGCTCCCGCCCCGTCGCGGCCTCGCCTCGCCCAGGGCCTCTCCCCGCCGGCCTCCCCCCTAAATACCTGCCGGGAGGAGGAGGAGGAGAGGAGGAGGAGGAGGAAAGGCGAGGGGAAGAGGAAGGAGCGGGGCTTAGCGCCGCCGCTGCCGGGATGGGGGCAGGCGGAGCGCGGCTGGAGCCCGGCACCGGGCTCCTCTCAGGGTTTTTAAGTCAAAAGCCGTTCAACGAGTAACTCCAGAACGTTTTTTTTTTTTTTTTTTTTTGGCCTTTTCTCTCTGAAAGAAGCAGGTTTCCGTGAATAGTTCCACCGTGCACATTACCGGGTGGATGGTGCAGGGTGGGCGGTGTTGGCGGTGCGGCAGCGGGTCCCTCTGCGCGGTCACACAGGCAGGGAGCAGCAGGGATCCGAGCCCTGAACCCCGCCTGGCACTGCCTTCTGCAGCTGGAGCTGAAATAACGAAAGGTGTTAGCAGGAATTTTGGGCTCCCTGAGGGGTCAGCTGCCGAGGAGACCTCCTGTATGCAGGCAGCGTTGTCAGACGGATTTCTCATCACCCCCACTTCTCCCCACATGACAGTAGCAGAGATGGAGGCCGAAGGCCTTTGGAAGCTTCAAGATCCTTGGCACAGCTGCCATGTGCCCCGTCCGGCTTCCAGCTGCCCAGAAGAAATGCTTGTGAGGGCTAGGTGAAGACAAAGGTGAAAAAGAGGTGGCTAGGTGAGCACCTTCCTAGTCTTCTCGGTGTTTTTGAGTGGTGTGTATGGCAGCTTCACCTCCTCTGATCAATTAATTGCCCATCTGGAAGACGCTAAAGCAATTCCCCCGTCATGTTTGACTTTGTTTTAAAGGGAAGAGCCGATGAAGCACAGGAAGAAAGGAGCTAGAAGAACACAGGAAGAAAACGTGTGAACACAAATCTTATGTGAAGCTGTGCTGAGTTCTCTTCCTATCCTCCCAAAAGATTGGGCAGGAACAGATGGCAACCCCTTCTGCTCTGCTTACAGGCCCTGTTCACCATGCTTAAAAGAGCCTGTAGCTGTGTCCGAAAATATAAGGAAGACAGGACATAGTGGAAAATCCCGAGCTTTTAGCATAAAAAGAGTTTAAAATACATGCACAAAGGACTCCTCAGTGTGCAGAGCTCACAGAAGTGGCTTGGGTCTTTGCTATAAAGGAACAGCAAACAGTAGGAACCAGTTCTTTCAAATTATTTTTCAGCAGTCATAGGTACTTCACTTTCATTCCTTTCTTGTGTAAGTATGTGCATATTTTAGTGGAAGGGGAAATATTTTAGCTAAAGAATTGGCAGCATTCCGTTTGTTGAAAACGTATGTGAAGAGATAAAACACATGGAAGCACTTTACAAGGCACTTCTTTTTTCTTTCTTTCCTTCTTTTCACAATTTTACAGCCAGAGCCTGTTTCAAGGAAATTTTGTATGTGTCTTGGTGGTCATAGTGTAATAGCTAAAAATATAATGCACCTTTCACAGGTAAATGCTGGTACTTTCCTCACCTCTCTGACATGTTATGTTCATTGCTTTTCTTTCCTCACTCATTTCTGTTAACTTTTACTGTTTGTTCCTTACTGTGTAGATCCTTCCATTCAGAGTTCTGGGTGATACTTTTTGCTTCACACTGTTCCTCTCAGACCAGCTGGCTGGTAGCTATTCTTAAGGGCCTTTTAACCTTCAGGCTCTATTGTTAGGATTTTGTATGCTTTTTTAATAGGGGTAGACAGGAAAGGGAAGAAAAAAGGGCTATTTTCAGATCTTGTGTTTCATTAATTATGCAAAAGCTGTTTCTGTTTTTGTGTCATGGCAAAGCAGCGAGTCCTGAAGTGAAATGGAAATATCAGTATCTGCTGATGAGTACAAGGTACCCGAAGAAAAATAGATTTTTGCCTTTGGTATTTACAATTGAAGTAATATCAGCAAAGAGCTGCTATTCCTGCATAAAACATCCAGTTTCAACAAAATTCTGCTAAGCAAAGCCACCAACCAGAACTACCTGTCTATATTTTGAAGAAATTGCAGTGTTCTTTCTGACCTCTCTTAGGGAAGATGCTGTCATTTTTTATCCTAAGCTTTCCTCTGCATGTACTGCAGTAAGAAGCTTCGAGCTGTGTTGCCCACTCCTGATGCCAATAAACTTTGTGGGAAACTGCTCTTCATTTGCATTTATTCTATTTAAGATACCAGCTCATAAGGCCAAGGAACTGGAGTATATCAAAAGTGACATTCTTATGTCAGTATAAGCACCTGTAATGATTTTAAAGTGTTATATTATAAATATGTATTTAATAAACAGATTTTATTATCCTTGTCAGGCTTACCTTTGACAGAAATTATGTGTCTCTGAAGTTCATCTTTAAATGGGGACCTCTATTTTTCCCAGTAATTTTTTTGCCAGCTGCAAATTGAATTCCATAACTAGGCTGAAGTTACACACTGTGAGTTTCAGAGTTTAAATATTCACCAGATTTCAAAAATAGCATTTTGCAATTGAAAGTGGAGTAAAAAGCTGAGCAAGACTTTCTACTTAAAGTTGATTTTTCTAGAGCTACGAATCAGAGTATATTTCAAAGTTTTTTTGAAATTCTAAATTTTCTCAGTGCAAGAAGTTAGTTTTCCAAGGAGTTTTTATTTATTTATTTATTTTATGTATTTATTTATTTATTTATTAAATAGCGGCACTGTGTTTCTCAAATCTTGATTTTTGTCCCAATACTGAATTTAAGTCATACAGTGCAGTTGTCTTATTGTCCCATCCATAAGGTGAAGAGACAGCTCATTACACCAAAGAACAACCAGGCTTAAAGGTGAATGTAGATCTCAACGGAAAACATCTCCAGCCTTCTCTCTTCTATCTCATAATCAATGGCAAGTGGAGCAGCACGGTACAAGTGCAAACATTGCTGCAGCAACCACAAAAGCATGGCTGGGGGAGATCAAAGTTGTGAACGTATGATTAGTGTCACCACACTGAAGGGGTATGTCAACAGGGCAGCAGAAGAACGGACAAAAGAAAGGACAGGCTCGTTTCCCTCAACACCCTTTCTGGTTGGGCCTGTAGAAAACATCAGTCCATTTACTACAAAACCGCTTGTGGTAACCAAAAAAGAGGAACTCTCATTGTGGTTGGAAATGGTTTTTGAGCTGTGAAGATACAAGTTCTCTTTTTTTTAAGTAAACCGCATTGTTTTTCTCTGCATAGATCTCATTTAAGAGAATTGGGTATAAATCATTGCTGAACCAACGACAAATAGCATATTAACTATCTTACTCACAAGTTCACTTCACTTCTACTCTCTGAGAACCAAACCTTTAAAAGTTTAGGGACTGCAGCCTTCTGTGGAGGGTAACTGAATCATCTGTTAACTTAGAGCTCAGTTCAGGTTCAGTCACTGTATTTCCCTTCTCACAGAGATTTTGTATGATCTGTTTCAGGCAGGTAATAGGCTGGAATAAAGAGGATCTGGAATCTGTCGTGTTTTTTTTTTTTTTTTCTTCTCTATATTGTATTTATATCCTATAATTTTCAGACACAGAAGGACATGAAGTAGCCACAGATGTTGCAAAGTAGACAATTAATTAGTAAAGCCTCTGCTGACTCCTTATGAATATGGAACTGTAGTGTCAGTGGGAAGAATCCTCTCCCTTTGTGGGCTGGCTGGCAGAAGCGTGTCCTCGCTGCTACAGTGAGCAGACTGAAGCCTGAGAACCAATGCAGCAGGACAATAAGTTCTTTCATTTCTTGCACGAATGCTGTCTTGGGTGCCAGCTAGAACTTTTTCTTTCCCTGTAGTGCCTGTTACTCGTCTTTGTTTGCTGTATCTTCTCTAGCCCTTGTTTTCAACCTCAGACTGTTTACTTGAGAATGAAGGAATGCAATTTGCGCCCTTCTGTTTTGCTCAGCAGAGGATAACATTGATTTTGCTTTGGATGTAGAAATGCATTTTGAATATATTGATGTAAGATACTGATGTGTTTTTTGTTTTGTTTTTAATTTTGAAATCAGTTACAGGACTCCCTTCACGGCTCCTCTACAATTCTTTAAAGGCCTGAAGCGTTGGACTGTATTACTCTCCTTTCCAGGACTGTGTAGAAGACAGACCAAACTGGAACGTGAGGCATCTTCTCTCTCCTCTTAATACTTCTTTATTATGCAAGTATGGTGATCATTGTCTGCAGTAACAGTGGAACAATTCTGTAGCTGCCCTGCAAATTAGAAGAAAATGGTATATTTCCCCAGTCCAGCTATCATCATAGCTCATCTTCAAAATTGTGTACCACAGGGTTTGTTGAAACACTCATTTTATTCTTCTTGCTTGGCTCATACCTTAGTGTGATTCCTGAGTTTTACACCCAGCAATAAACATGAGCGGAGTATATGAGTTGATTTTGATTTACCTGCAGGTATTAAAAGGAACTTTCACTCCTTCCTCCAAGTTTCCTGACAGCTTTTAAATTCAGTGTAATGAAATCTCCCTCCAGCCATTAATCAACCACCATAAAGCTCAAGAACTTCACCTGTTAAAAAAAAAAAAAAAACATCCTTTACTGTGATCTGCTAATACATTGTTACAGCACTTTTCCTTAACAGAAGTCTCTGGCTTTGAGACATCAGCTCTTGTTTGCAGCGACTGCCCCCCACCCTGATCAGCGAGCTTGCGGCCTTGCTGAGCTGAGGGTAGTGCAAGGCAAGTGCATGCGAAATCCACCCTTTTTACTGGCAGAGCTAAGGATGATGATCGTGTCTGCACTCTGAGCTAGCCTGAGATCCGTCATCTGCTCCCAATAGCAGGAGATGAGCAACTCCCAGTGAGCAACTGTCAGATACGTAATGCAGCTCAGCACAATTGCAGCTCGGATCCTGGTGGCTGGCTTAATAACTTCCCTGTAGTTTTTCTTTCTCTCTTCCTCTCTGTCTCCCCTGCGCCCCCATCCAGCACGGAACAGCCTGAAGGAATAGGCACGGACTGCACTTTGGTTCCTGTTGGGGTTGTGCTGGGACTCGCTCGACCAGATCCTTGCTACAGCTCTGGGGCGTGCCACTTGCTCTGCTGCTGCCCTCCCGTAGGGTCAAAGAGCCACATCCCATCAAAGGTCAGCCTTCATCTGGCAGATGTTTTCAGAACCAGGGCTTCGCTGCTGCTTCAAACTGTCTCTGGCATTAGTGCTTCTTCAATTGTCTGTTTCTGTGTGGTTTTGCTAGTTTATATTAAAAATAAAAAAAGGGGGGGGGGGGGTAGTCTTCATGCATCAGCATTCCCAAAGGCTTCTTGCTCCACCTCATAAAGCAAGATTGAGAACATGCGTATCTTGATCGGCCTGATTTTTGTCGTCAGGATTATTTATATCTGCTTCAGGCCAACTAGAGCCACTGGCGTGGTGACCTATATTGTTTTTACAGGAAAACGAGAATATGTTTAACAAATACAGAACCCTAACAAACCGATAAGCAAAATGAAATGGAACACATGGCGAACTGTCGTGAGAAGACGGATGAAAACCATCAGATTGTTTTTTAAAACTACATATGCAATTGACTACTGCTTGTGTAGGTGATGCATCAACAAGACAACCTGCAGCCTGTCTAGTTGTTTCACCTCAGAGACAAGTCTAAAAATAAATCTTAATTTTTGAATCCATCCTAGTAAGTAAAGATAATCAAATTTCTATAAGATCTTAGGAATATCTAGAATTTAGCACAGACCGCCAAGTTATTCTAATTGGTATTTTCCTGGCTACCCTATTATTACATTCAATTAAGGACTCTTCCCATGGTATGTTAAGGTGGCACAAATAAATGGTATCAGCGCGTCATGTGGATATCTACCACTTTATTCATGCTTGTCAACAAAGTCACACTCCTCGCAAAGAAGCAGGAGTTTCTAATTTCTTCTATGAGAACTAATTATTTTTATTTTTTTTTCTTTTTGTTAGTATTTAGTTAAAATGCTGCCAGCACAGTAGTGCCTGAAGCCCTACCCTTGTTTGGTGCCTCGGTGCCTTGTAAGTATGTACAAGAACCCAGCAGCTCCTGCCCAGGGAGGAGACATTAAACGTGGAGCAGCACATCCGCATCCTGCCTCTTAAAACCAATCATCATTGCATAAATATTGACTCTGTAGATTACAACCTGAAGTAGAGACATTTATTTAAGTTCCTTTGATCCATTTTCTTTCAATACTTGTTTGCAACAAATAAATATTGGAGGATGTGTGTGTACCACTTTTTTGGGAAGGTACCAGAGTACTTCAAGCCCTCCATGAAATTTGATGAAAAATATGTGTCTCAGCTTCAGACCTACTATTTTCTCAGCTGATAGGATATTTTTGTGCATTTTAAGAGGGCTAGAATTGAGTTTATTTGAACTCATAACTATAGACTTGGTTTTCAGCGTTTGCTGTAACTGCATACATGCAGTGCTGACCAGCTTTGTTCAGTTAGATTTTTTTGGCCTTGAATTTTCTCATATCTATTTAAAAATGAAACCAAATATCTTCATTTAAAATACTTTCACAATAATTTCAATAAGACAAGTAGCTGTTTGAAGACTCAAAACCTACAGCACAGTTATTAAGGCTTTCTGGGAAAATACTTGCTACTGCTGGAGCAGCTCTTTCACAGAGGTCATGGCATGGAGCCAGGGGAGGTTGGTAGATGGCTAGGCAACCAGGAAAAGAACAAGTTTGTCAGCATGTACAGCTGATTACTGTGAGAATAATTTTCCATAAGCATAGCCTGCACAGTGTTTGCTTAAGAGGGGTTTAATTTTTCACTAAAGTCCCTATCAGCTAAGTCGTTTTAAACTGTGGCAGAAAGTCATTTGTTCAAATCAGATGAAAGAAGGAGCAGTATGGCTTTTAATAACATCATGTTGCGGTAGGATGAGGTAGGATATTTCAATATTTATAGGCAGTATGGGATCATTCCCATAATGGTACATTATGACGATTATTTTGGTTAGGGAAATGTTTTGGTTTCTATTAGCTACAGTGATCATTTCTAAAATGTCTCAAAACTAGAAAATGTGAGAAATGTTACCCTTAGCGTGAGAAGATACCGCCTTTAGTCACTGCATTCTCCTGCTTGCAAATGCCATCTCGATTGCCAGCATGTAATCATAAGAAATAAATACATTTTATTTTCTAGGTGCATGGTTACAACTGCAGCATAACTCAGATGGGTCAGTTTTATGGTGCTCTGTCACCCACAATGTCTAACCAGGTATAACTGAACTGCACTTCAAACGTCTGAAGCAGATGTAGGTGCATTCAGCTGCTGCACTGTGTCCGTATTTCTTTCTTTGGCCAACTCCATGTCCAAGGTCAAGACTGAAAGAGAGCATTACACAGATCTCTGTCATATGGAGACTTCCTTTCTGCTGAACTAATCCCTTGTTAGCAGCATGGCTAAGGTATGGTATAAAGCAGATTGACTGGAATAAATGCATGAACACTAAACTTTAAAAGCAAAAGACAAAATCAATTCATATTTACACTGTAAAGTGTTTTTGACAGAATAATAACCCACTCCAGTTTTTAATCTTGTTCTTGAATATACAGAATGTTTGCCGAAGTCTCTATAATCATGTGTGTTTTACTTCAGAAGTGCTGCAATCCATAACCTACAGCCTGCTTAATTTTGCAACATGAGCTGTCTTTATCCATTATTTATTGTCTTTGAATATGAGGAGGATCAGAACATCAGACAGAAGGAACACGGTGGCTTTGAGGATGAGTCACAGGAGCAAGACGAAATTCAGTAGGAAAAAGTGCCGTGGTTAAGTGTCTCAGCTGAGAACAACTGAGCGTGGTGGGGAGCTGCCATAGCAATGTAGCCTTGGGAAGCTGAATGCAAGTCCTGGGGCTTCAGGGAGAGAGATTCCTGCTAAAGCCAGGAAGCTGTTGGTGCCATTATAATGGCCTAATGCACCTGGAGATATTGTGTATGGAATTAATAATTAAATTGGAAATAATGTGTGTGATTCTGCCTGCCTGTTTTCAAGCAGGTGAATTTGGATTGGAAGCAGTTCAGAAGAAAGATGCTTGGGAGAACAGGGAAGAGAAGATGAGGTATCATGGCAAAACAGAAAACAAAAGGCCTGAGAAAAGATAGAGCTGTTTAATCATAGCGTACTTCCTGATCGTTGAATATATATAATTTCTGTTGAAGACACATAATTTCTGGGGCTACATGTAATTTCTAAACAATCCACAATGTCTGCACCCTGATATATCAGATGATAATAGAATTTATGAGAAATACATCATGTTATACATGATACGATATAAACTCTTTAAAGAAAAGGACAGCATTGGTTCAAGAAAAATGTTTAAAAATTATTAATAAACACATTTAGACAGAAATTCACAAACTCCTACTAATCATGAGGGTAGTCTGTAACATTTCTCCAGCAGGATTAAGTGGGGGCAATAAAAATCAAACTGCTTTTAAGCAGGAGCTTGATATATTTATTAAAGGGATTCTATAAGGTGTTGCTTTATGCACCAAAGGACAGCAATGATTCAGAAATTCCCTTTATGTTTTCTGTTTGTATTTGGTTTTCATGCATCTAAAAATTCATATAAAACCAGTCACTGTTACAGAAGGAATTCAGAATCCTCTGTCTTAAAATGTATAAAAATAATAAATGATTTGGGGTCTGGTGGAGAGCAGTAGCTTCTAAACAAGTCTGTCAAATCATGATTTAAGTCTTGTTTAGTCTGCAGTGGAGAAATTGCTTTGAATAGAAAATACACAATAAAATATGTCTAACAGGTCCTGACAGAAAGTTGTTTCAGTCTATTTAGCACTTTCCAGTAACAGGTAGTCTCTACCCCATTTCATAAAAAGTAACAAAAGTGTTGCAGCCAGAATCGAAGCCTGGTTAGCTTAAAACAAAAAAAAAGTTTCTAGCCTCTCTTTACAGTGTTCTGCTCACACTGCATCTACGAAGTCAGTGGTTAAGTGAAGCCTCTCTGAGAGGAAGTTTCCATTCTGAGTCATAAGCGTTGGATTGACAGCCTTTATAGAAACCTAACCGTAATCCTATTAAACAATATGCTTCTATAAATGCTGAAGGATAAATTTCTTCTGCTGGATGCGGGGGCAGTAAGCTGCAGTATCTCAGAGGACAGCTTGTAGAGAATCTGTGTGGCTGTGCAAATGGAATAAGGCTGGGAACTGCCGGGCTAGGACACCTCCAGCATCTCATCAGAAAGTTGGGATATCTAATGGTACAGAACCCACCTGCCAGCAGCAGTTATTGAAGAGGTGTTTGCCCACAGGAATACAGCAACAGCTACATAAATTAAAAAAATGGTGGGTGTTGTTATTTTTTTTTTCAATATCCCCTTAGAGCAGGATATTTTTCTTGCAAGCTCCATTTGAAACAAGCATATCAGTAAAATGCAAATAACTATCACTGTACCCCTTGGTGTATATTTTAAACATACAAAAGTTAGAAAACTCATTTCTTCTAAATTTACTTTGTGGATTTATCAGAATTTGCTGTATCTCCTGTAGCTGAATTCAGCTTTATACTGAGTTCACTCTCATGTAACTGTAGAATTTGGCCACAGGCTTTACCCTTATAACCTCTGGCTAACTTATAAGTGAAAAATGTAAATGTACTAAAAATGATTTTAAGAAATGCAGACACCTCTCTTGTCACAGGAAAATAGTATACATGTAGGGGAAACTAATTTTTCCAGTATTAGAAATAAAAGTTTGGCAAACATAAAGGCCAGTCAACCCACTCAGGATGCTGGGCATACAGACAGAGGAGAAAACTAAGGGAGATCACAGATGATGTTGTAATGATGCAAAGGAAGAATGCTGAAAAAAAAAGGAGATATGAAGATGTTGGACAGGTTTGTGGAACACCAGAGAACAGGGCACCAGCCATCTGGGGCTGCATGAGGTCACTGCTCTGGTTACATCCTGGTACTCACATGTCCCAAGGGCTGGTCGCGCACAAGATGCTGTCCAAGTCCTTTCTTGTTTTCACCCTCCCACTATCACAACCTCTAGATAGCTTCAGATACAGCACTGTTATTAGTTTCCTGGGAAAGGGCATCTCAAGGTGATGGCAAGCAGGACGTGTGGACACAAACCCTGTGGTGCTTGGAGCGGCGCTTGTCAGGAGAGGAGAGCAAAAAGAGAAATGAGCAGTGGCCCTGCTGCTATTAGCAAATACTGCTGTCAGAATTTGCTAATATCAGTAGTTACTGATAGCTGATTACTTACTGATATCAGCATTAGCAATAATTTTGTTCACGGTCTCCATTTCTACAAGTTATTCCCTCTTGGCTTGTTTAGAGCAACACTTGCTTGCTGTGGGTTGTCGGCTGGTCTAACCTTCCCTTCCCCCCCAAGGCACAACCACTAATAAAAGTTCAAGGTTTATGTTTTGCTGTACTCCTTATGCTCTGGATGAAACTGAATAGCTAAAATTATGCCAAAAGTTATAACAACAAACAAACAAAACCCAGTAAACAATCTACACAAGTGAATTGTATTTCAACACATGCCTCTGAGCAAGCACTCAGAGATTTAAAATATTTGGAAACAGAATCGTGGGCCCTTAGCCCATGCAGGCCATAAAGTTAATTGGCCCTAATATACTCTCTAGAGATAAGCAGTGCTTCCACAGCAGGAACTAACCCCCCCTTCCCTGGTAAAAGTGGCACTTTATGAATCTGTAATACGTCAGTACATGGTGTCTTGTGGCAGTGCACAATCTGGCGAGTAGCATTCGCATTTGCAGTTGGTTTCATTGCAATTACCATGTATTATTGCATAGTTGGGAGCAGTCATGTGTGGGTATCTCCATGTATTAGCACATATAAATCATCTCTAGTTTCTCCTGTCCTGCACTGATATTCCAACAGGGATGCATCCCTGGCCATGTGATTAAAGCAAAACTCTCACCAGGGAAGAATCATTTCATTATTTGCCTTCAACAGTTTTGAAGAATACCATTTGTCTTTGGCCTTTCAAATGCATATTATACAGGAGCTTTTGCACCAGCTAAGGCTATAACAGAACTTTTAATGGGGCTGTTCTGTCTGGATACGGCCTTATTGCCGAGAGCCTGAGGACAGACAGGAGTCCTAAAGAGGTATAGCTTTTTCTTAGGAGCTTTGCTTTTTGAAGATTTTTGAAGTCATCACTGGTCATCCCAGGTAAGTTGAATCCAAAATCACGTGGAAAAAAAAACTCCTGCTCTCAAAGTGTTGATGTGTTTGGCAGTTTTGTAAATGTTAAATTCTTCCTCTAGTAAACATTTACAATGAATTAAATAGATCTATACCAGGTACAAGTTGACTTTGGTAGAGCTATGAAAACTTAAATGCACTGAGACCTTGACCGGTTCCCCAGCAAGTAGTCTTATCTGCAGTGATATCTTCAAATGCTATTTTTACTTATGAAAGGTGTGGGAATGGTCTTGGATGCCCAAACAGCTCTGTTATGGGTCAGTGCCCAATGCATGTGTATTCTCTTTACCACAGTTTTCAGCCACCGTCTATTTTAAGATTCAAAATCCTAAGCTGTTTCACCAAAGCCATTTTTGATACAATACTGAAAAGACTCCTGTCAATATTGAACTGAATGGCAGTCATTGAAAGTATAAAGTCCTGATTAGAAATACCAAGATTTTTAAAATATGTGATTTTTGAATGGAGAAATTCCCAATTCTCTTGCTTTGGTGCTGTCTTATATTATTATCTGAATGTTAAATAAATCTTTTTTTGATTGATATATCTTGATGACTATAAATCTGGATAAATCCTTTGACTTTTTCCTTTTCATAAAAATAAATTTACTTACAGTGTTTCTAATGCTCACTGGGGTGCCACAAGAGAAGCTTCCACTCCAAGTGCTGTTTTCAACCCAGAAACATGGCAGGAGATAAAAAGCTGGGTGGAGTGGCTAGCACCTGAAAGAGCCAAACTGCTTTAAACATCAAAAGAGGGTTCAGTTCAAGAACTGGCCAAAGGGTCAACCAGATTCTTACTTTACCTAAGACAGTATTTCCATAATGATTTTGGGCTAGTCAAATGCTACCTACAAATGCAGAGCCAGAGAGCTTAGGTAAACTCCTAAATTTGCCAAGAGCTTTGTATTGGAGAAAGGATTTTCTTCTTTCCTTAAACACTGGGCCTTTAACTTCTAGACAGTTGTATCTAAATCAAATTACCTCAATATTGTATTTCTGTATCTTTTAAATTTCTTATAAATATTCTCTCACAAGTTACTAGTGTCTTTCCACATTGGGTGAATAATTAGGCTGTACTTAAGTACAGTATGCACATTTAATCCATTTGGCTTAATTTCTAGAAATTTACAGGTAGATAATTACTGCTTTGCTAAGTAACATTTTGGGGAAGCATTTGCCTTCACAACATTTTATGTATTTGTATTTTTGGTAGATCTCTTTATATTATTATGATGCCATAATTTTACAACATACATCTATTCAGCACACCTCTCAAAAGAAGATCATGGGAATATCCTAAAGAGGATTCATCCCATCTGGAATCCCTGCAGATATGTCCAGAATCGGCAGTTCTGATATGGAGATCTTAATCTCCTTGAGGATGAAGCACCGCATAAAGCCAGATGGGTATGGGAACATCCCTAGCAGTTCAACCACCAAGAATTGGCCTGGAGGGGTGAAGTTGGGAACACAGGGACACTGCCACTTTTCCCACGTGAGTTTTGGGCACCAGAAAGCTCTGAGCTGCTGTCCTGTGTCACACCAGGAGGATGGGCAAGGCCCTGCTCCACCTCTTCATCTTACCAGAGCAGATCTCCCCACCTTGCAGACATAGGGGACCCGTTGGACAGCAAAACCATCTGGACATCCCATTTTAATGCCTGCGTTTCTTGGAGTGTCTAGTCCTGTCACAAGGTCAGAGAGAAGAGCTATGTCCAAAGGGCACTGAAAAAATCAGCCTTCTGTTCCACAATGAGGAAACTGTCTCTGAGCTTTCCTTGCAGGGGACCATGCCATTTTTTTGCGTGAGTGTCTGATTTTGGAATGCTGTTGTGCTAGGTCTTGCTTTGCAGCCCAGCTCCTATTCTGGCACTTCAGTTTGGGAAAATAGCTGCAGCTAACAACAAACATCTTAGGCTTAACTTGTATTTCAGTGATTAAAAAGAGCAGTTATTGTTACTTTGCACACTGTTAATGACAGTTTGTGCATGTACTTACCAATGGCAAGAAGGCCTGCAAACACCTCTGAATGACAAAAGAGTGCTCTAATACATAGTTTCTCTCAGAGGTTCACCACAAAGGATCATACCAACCTCTTGATGCAGCGTGTGCAGCCCTATATTAAGCTATTTCAGTGGGTCTTAATTCAGTTTTGATCTTTAGAGCTTGTTCTTGAAATCCATATTTAAGATAGGCTGTATTAAGTCATTTGTAGTGCTGAATTAAATACCATCCACAGGGCTCAAAAAATCTTGATAATGTCGTTTATATTAGGCACAAGGGGTGGGATTCATTTGACTGCGTACAAATCACTCCAGGAGCTATCTACATCTATGTTAATCACATCGTGTTCTCTTTATAACCAAAGAAGAAAAATAAGCACTCCAAGAGTATGAGTCAGCTGATCTATTTCAGATATTTGGTTTACCATGTGTTGACCTGCACCCTAAAAGCAACTATTTCTCCCCAGTGACTTCAAAAGGACCTTTGGTGATCAGCTCAGGTATAGACACTTATACCAGTGAGAGGTCAACCCCACTGAGGTGACTGACTGTAATTATGGG